GTCTGTTGAGATGTTCAATTTCGTTTTGTGTCAGTTTAGGTAGATTGTGTGTTTCTAGATATTTGTCCATTTCTTCAAGGTTTTCATATTTGTTTGAGTATAGTTTTTCATAATATTCTAATGCTAACTTTTTAATTTTAGTTGGGTTTGTTGTGATGTTGCCTGATTCATCTCTTATTCGGATTATTTGTGTCTTCTCCTTTTCTTTTGTGAGTTTTGCTAGTTAGGCAGAGTTTTTAAGTGTCTGTGTCTCTTGTTAAAACTTAAATTGCCACAAAAGGTGTGGCCCTGTTCCCGGTTTTTCTTGCCTGGTCTGGGAATAGATTTGGTGCAGGCGATAAAGCGAGTTTGTGAGTCCAGCACTGAATCCTCTGGATGCACCGTCAGAGGATCTGCGTCTCCTACAGCAGGAATGACCAAGGGGAGGAGGAGTTCACGTCCTGGCCCCGCCCCGCGGGCGAAGCTCCGCCTCCAAACAGCCCCCCGCCCCCCCCAGCGAAACCCCACCTCCCAAGCCGCCCCCGGCCCGCGCACGAGGCCACGCCCCGCGCACGAGGCCACGCCCTGGCCTCGCGGTTTCCGGCCTTTTCCAAACGAGCCGGGTCCCAGCGCCGATTGCAGAGAGGCGGGCATGGGTGCAGCGTCCGAGCTGGGGGCGGCCGCGGGGAGCTCGCTGCTTCTGGCCACCGCACTGCTGGCTGGGGGCTGCGCGCTGGGCCTGTGGCTGGGCCGCGGACGCGGGGCGGCGGACCGCTGGGCGCTCGCCTGGCTCTGCTACGATGCCCTGGTGCACTTCGTGCTGGTAAGTGTCCGATCACGGCCGGCCACTCAGACCCGCCCCGGGGAGGGCCAGCGGCGTGCTGATGGACACCCTCCCTGTGGCTGCAGCTGGGGGAAGATCCTGAAAGTACCCTGCATACTTCTCTCAGGGCCTAGAGTCTGTATGAAGAGCGCGTTAGTGCACACACGTCTTAAGTGCCATCGACTCTGGAGTCGACTCAGCGACCCTGTAACAACAGATCCCTGCCCTGTCTTGTGCCAGCCTCATCATCTCTGACACACTTGAGCCCATTGCTGGAGTCACTGTGTTACTCTGTCTCTTTGGCCTACCCTCTACCTTTCCAAGCTTGATGTCCCTTTCCCAGAAAAAATGACCAAAGTATGGGAGAGAAACTTTGCTATCCTTGCCTCCTAGGGGTCCTCTAGTTTAACTTGTCTCAAGATATGTTTGTTCTTTTGGCAGTTCGTGGGATAGTCAGCACTTTTCCAACACACTTGAGGATAGTTGAAATTGCAAATACTTTGCTATCACAATAAAAAGGGAGCTAGCTTCCCTCGTTTGAAAACTAAGGTGCACCGGCTCATGGATGATCCTCTAGCAGGTTTTCAGAGGCTGTAAGTTGCGTGGGAAGAGGTTGACCATCTTTCTGTCACAGCAGCTGGCAGAGTTGAACCTCGGACCTTTGAATTGGCAGCTCAGTTCCTTACCACTAAAGCCACCAGAGCTCCCAATTGCCAGAATTATCCTGTAATCATTACTGTATTTGCAGTCAGTGGTTTTCCTCTTTTTCACTGACCAATCATGATGTCCAAGGGCTCAACGAAACAACTTATGCTGTCAAGTTGAAACCCACCCATAGCTGACCCTCCAGTGGGTTTTCAGGGGCTATAAATCAGAGGCAAGGAGAATACCGGTCTTTCTCATGTGGAACAGCGGGTGGATTCGAACCACTTGCCTTTGGGTTGACAATGTAACTCCTTACAGAATAGGCCACCAGAGCTCTAAAGGGACACAGAATGGATCTATTCTAGTCCTTGACCAGATAGCTGTCTTCTGGATTTCTTGACATAGAAAAGTGAGCATATTCAACATTGCATCTGTTGAAATATTTCAGTTGGTATTCTAATAGTTTCTGAAGTCTTGTTTTTCTTCAGTGCAGCTTGGACTTCTTACTTCAACACCAATCCACTGAAAGTATATCGATCATGGTTCGATCATGGTTCTTGATCATATCCGTACCTCTGAAATAGTAACAGTGACTAATTTTTTTTTTATTAGAACAATGACTCTTTCTTCTATCTTTTGATCCTGTCTGTATTGTTTAGTCTTTGACCTATAGATTCCTTAGTGTTGCATCTTAAGGCTTAGATTTCTTTTTCAGTTCTTTCAGTTTGAGAAATACCCAATGTGTTCTTCTCTTTTGTTTTTTCTATCTTTAAGTCTTTGCATTTCATTATAACATTTTGTTTTCTTGAGCCTCTCTTAAAATCTTCTGTTTAGCACTTCTGTTCGTCATTTCTTCCATTGTTCACAGCTTTAGTTTGCTTGGCTCCCCAGTCAACACTCTTGGTACCAGCAGCCAGGGAACTAAAAGACAAATTACATTGGGAAAGTCTGATGTCAGGGACCTCTCCAAAGTACTGAAGAGCAATGATGTCACTCTGGAGACCAAGGTGCACCTGATTAATGCCATCGTTTTTGCAATTACTTGCTATGCATCAGAAAGCTGGACAATGATGAGGATGATAGAAGGAGAATTGATGCCTTTGAGCTGTGCTCTTGAAGAAGAATATTATTGAATATACCATGGACTGCTAGGAGAAGAAACAGGTTCATCCTAGAGAGGGTGAGATCAGGTTTCTCCTTAGACTAGGCAAGGATTCTAAAGCGATGTCTGACATACTTTGGACATGTTGCAAGGAGGGACCAGTCCTTGGAGAGGGATGTCATGCTTGGGAGGGTGGAGGGACAGCACAAAAAAGGAAGCTCCTCAATGAGATATATTGATTCAGTGACTGGGGTAATGGGAGTAGGTGTGTCAGAGGCAAGATTGAGCAGGGTTTAGGGCTGTTGTACATAGGGTCGCAAACGACTCGATGGCACATAACAGTGTCACATGCAAGTTAAATCTTGCTGGAGAGTATTTAAAAATGGCTGGAACATTCTGTGAATGGGGAACTGTCAGAAATTCAAGGTCTATTTAGAGGAACCCATGGATGGCAAGAGGGATATTACTGCTGACACCAGATGGATTTGGCCTGAAAGCAGAGAATACTAGAAAGATGTTTACTTGTGCTTTATTGATTTATGAAAAATCATTTAATTGTGTAGATAATAATAAATTATAGCTAACATTGGGAAGCTTGAGAATACCAGAACACTTACTTGAGCTCATGCAAGACCTATATATAGACGAAGATACTGTTGTCTAAAAAGAGCAAGGGAACACTGCATGGCTTAAAATTAGGAAAGGTTTGTGTCAAGATTGTATCCTTTCTCCATACCTCTTCAATCTGTACACTGGGCAAATCACTGGAGGTGCTGGACTAAAAATGAAGAAGAATGTGGTATCAGGATTGGAAGAAGACTCCTCAATGACCAGTATTACACAGATGATACAACCTTGCTTGTAGGAGGTGAAGAAGACTTAAAAACCTCACTACAGATTATCAAAGACTACATCCTTCAGTATAGGTTATATCTCAACATCAAGAAAACAGAAGTCCTCACCATTGGACCAATAGGCAATATCATCATATGTGAAGAAAAGACTGACGTTATCAACAAATTCATTTTACTTAGATTCGGTTGTGTTGGGTGGCAGCATGTCTGCTGGGGCAGGATCCATCAGATGGAAGCCCTCCTCTCATTAAGTGATGACAGCTGGGCAGGATACAGTTATGAAGTCACTGCCTGTCACTAAAGAGCCCATGGGAGGTGGAAGAAGCTGATCCTCTAGGAAGCAATGATCCTTGCGGTTGCCACAAATTGAGAAAACCAAGTCTGACTGGGGAGATATTTGAAGATGCTAATGCATTTTGGTAGGGTTAACATCCAGGTTCTAACTCCACTCCATTCTCCCATGCTTAGCAGTGACTGTTGTAGTGTTTTCTCTGGTTCTTCATTCAAACACAGACACATAATTCTAACTCCACTCCATTCTCCCATGCTTAGCAGTGACTGTTGTAGTGTTTTCTCTGGTTCTTCATTCAAACACAGACACATAATTCTCACACATTCAACCCAAATCAGCTTCAATGTGTGTTACTTTTCTTGGAAATGGTTGAATTCCATGCAAGAAATCCAGATTGTATTCATGACCAACACACTTCACGCACAGCTACCACCCGTTTGCCAGTGGAGAGGCTGGTGTGTGCCACAGTGCTGAGCTGCTTTCAGCAGAACTTTTAGACAGACAGATTAGGAGATTAGGAAGGAAAGCTAGGTGATCTACTTCCAAAAATCCGCCAGTAAAAACCCTGTGGCCCATGACAGTATGATCAGTACGCAATCATGGGGATAGTGCTGGATCGGACATGTGCACAGGATCGCCACAAGTCTGTTGCCACTGTGAGAGTAACTACCAAGAACAACAGCATAGATTTGGAACAATGTAGGCATCAAAAATTGGAAGGAGTAGGAAGAAGAAGAGAAGCACTAGAAATAGTATTTTTTCAGAATGAGTAGTTAATATTGCTAGCTAAAGAAATGATTGTTTAAACAGATGATGACTTATGGAGATAATCCTGGGAAGTAGATTGGTTCTCCTTCCTGTCTCTTTGCAGAGTGATTCAGGTCCTAAAAACTTGCAAGTGACCACTCAAAGTTCAACATTTCATCTCCAACATTAACTCAAGATAGATCAAAGGCCTGCATGTAAGAGCCAAAACTATAAAACTTAAAAGAAAACAAGGGCATAAATCTTCATGACCTTGAGTTAGGAAATGGTTTCTTAGAGATGACATCAAAAGTATAAACAGTAAAAGAAAAACTAGGTAAGTTAGACATAAAAAAAAACCAGATAACTTTTGTGCTATACAGGATACCATCAGGAATGTGAAAAGCAGTCCATAGGGTGAGAGAAAAATACTTATAAATCATGTATCTCTTACAGAATACATGGGAAGGATCTTTTGTAAAAAACATTGTATTCAAACTTTGTAAATAAATCAGTAGTGGTACTCGGGATATTGTAGCTGATATTAGATGGATCTTAGCTGAAAGCAGGGAATACCAGAGGAATGTCTATCTGTGTTTCATTGAGTGTGCAAAGGCATTTGACTGTGTGGATCATAAGAAACTGTGGCTGACTCTGAGAAGAATGGGAATCTCAGATCACTTGATTGTTCTAATGCGAAACCTATACTTGGGCCAGGAGGCAGTTGTCAGAACAGAGCACGGGAACACTGCATGGTTCAAAATTGGGAAGGGCGTATGCCAGGGATGCATCCTATCTCCATACCTTTTCAACCTGTATGCAGAACAGATCATCCGGGAGGCTGGGCTCTATGAGGAGAAATGTAGAATCAAGATTAGTGGAAGATCTATCAACAGTCTGCGTTATGCAGATGACACAACCCTGCTTGCTGAAACTGAGGAGGACCTGAAGCACTTGCTCCAGAGGGTCAAGAACTGTAGCCT